TGTGTGTGTGTGTGTGTGTGTGTGTGTGTGTGTGTGTGTGTGTGTGTGTGTGTGTGTGTGTGTGTGTCTGTGTGTTTGTGGGGGTAATTTAATTTTGTAAAACTTACAGGAATTGTGATTAATTTAATCTTTAGTGGCTGTCAGAGAAAATGTGTGAGGGGGTGGAGGAGGGATTTTTTTTAAAATTAAAACAAGATTTTAGCTCTGACCAGCTCATAATGAAGCACACCACTAGAATACCATACGGACTGGACCAAACATTAGGGCAAGTTGTATTTTTTTATTTTGTAGTTTTTCTGTGTCATTAAATTTCTCACACTAGTCTATATTATTATAGACAATCTTGTGGTGTTCAGTGTGCAACACAAACAACATAAGAGTAAAACAAATTTCAAATAGGGCCTATAAAGTTCATCTCAAAGACCAGCTGTAAGTCACCGTTCAACCTTTCAATAAATTTACAATAATTTTATGCTTTTATTAATTCTATTTAGAAAAATGCACTTCAAATGGCTGAAAAATTCATAGTTTTGGGGAGATTTTTTTTTCTAAATTTTCTAGGGTGTAAGCATCTGGACCCTCCTAGGATCACTTCGTACTGCTGGCATGAGCTAAAATATTCAAGTGTTTCACTGCCACCAGCAAATGATAGCAGGAATGTAAATGTTATTCATAATCATGTCTTATGATTTACTTGACAATGTCAATGCTTGTTAAACTGTAAGTGCATTTAATTGTAGTTATAATGCAAATACAAAAAAATGAAACCAGGATTTAGACTAATTGTCACTTTGATCAGTACATTGTTAAGATCTAAATGGACCTCATGGCACTTTAAATTTAACAAGTTGGGCCTCGAGGTCAAAATGGTTAAGAATCCCTAATTTAGAGAATATGAAGAAGCTTGAGTGCATGAAAGAGCAGGGGATGCAAACCTAAAATGAATGTCAGTGTGTGTTATCAACACTGATAAATAAGTATTCCAGATCCTTTTAGTAGAAGAGTTAACATAATCTGCCTGCATCATTTTTGACATAAACTGCAAGCAGGGAAGGATGCATGTCTAAAGTTCACAAGTATGGTCATATTTAAAATTCAGATGGCAATTTTAAAAATCCCTAATTAATAGATCTGCTAGCAAATTACAGGGTTTTGAAACAAAAAAAGGTTTTATGTGGACATTTTTATTTAGGAAAATCACAGCACAAAAGCTCTAAAAGAGCTAAATGTTTAGTTAATACTTAAAGTGTAGAAATAAAATGCTTTTGTGTAAATACTTTGATTTTGAAGCTTTATAAACTAGATAACTTCACTTAAGGTAAAGAGCTCTTTGGTTGATTAGTCAGTATTTGTTTAATTCTTCATGTTGTTTCTTTGTAGCTGCAGTGGAGCTGGTTTATCCGTGTCAGATCAAACTGACCTTCATCCTGCGGGCGTTGAGCTTCTCCTGGCGCAGGTGTTCGTGTAACGTGTGCCGGTGGCTGCTCTCCTGCTCGCGGGCGAACTCGCCCAGCGTGTAGTGTCTGATGGAGGAGTGGTGGCAGGCCATGCCCAGGGAGCTGCCCCCCTGACTGGGCACGCTGGTGAAGCCCTGCTTCCGGGGGAAGTAGTACACCGTCACCACGTCGAAACGCACCCGCTTCCCCCCCGGCGCCGGCTTGTGCTGTCTGAGGATGGAGGTGGCTGATGGGAGGAATCGAGGATGCAGAGATGCACAAACGTAATTATACACCATAAGTTTTGCAGTGTTAAATCAACACTTAAAGAATTAAATTTAACACCGAGTCTATTTGGTCCTTATCTGAATTGAACTGATGATGATGATGATGATGCCTTTATTGGCTTAACTGGTGTCAGTTTAACTCTTTATATAGTGTTACATTTTTAGAGTACAATTTAACTCTAAACAGTGTTAAAAATTAACACTAACACTGTACAGTGTTAATAAAACTTAACATTTCAAGTCAAATAACTCTGATGAGAGTAATTTATGATTCTAAGCAGAGTTAATAAGGTACTCCACTGTGGTGACAAAGCAACTCTGATTCTCATGCTTTTCAACACTGCATTGAGTTATTGATGTTAACACTGGAGGTTCATATACCTCCTATGAGTGTTAATTTGACACTCCACTGTGTTGATTACTTACTATTTTGCTGTGTAGAGGGGTGTAAAACAGACGCTATGAGGTGTCATTACACAGCAAATTGTAAAGTATAAGTTTAACACTTTAGAGTTAAGATCAACTCTTTGTAGTGTTGCATTAATATTACACAGTTGTGTCTGGATAAAGGGCTCGACACACGGGAAGCGACGTCGCTCGCTCTCCATTCATTTCCTATGGAGCCTGTGCGGTGAGGCGACAATCGCTTGCCCTCCTCCAGCTAAGCGACCGTCGAAAATAGTGCATGTGAAATTTCGCACTCGTACACGTACACATGCACACGTGAGCTTGCGACGCGACATATAAAAGTTGAGAAATGTTCAACTTTTGTCGCTGTCGCTTAGCGTACAACCAATCAGCAAYGGTTTCATTGACTGACCAATAAGAGGAGAGTATGCTACACGCTGCCGTTAGCTAACACTTTCACCAAGTGACTACTAAAAAGCTTTGTGGGAATTTATTGGCACCAGGGTGAAGTTTATRGTAAGTTTTTCCTCATAAAATTTTATCTTGATGTGTGTTTGTTTTTCAATATCATTAGCATCGCAAGATTTGTTTAGTTTACACATCCGTAATGCACACCCGTCTTCAGAGTCAAGAACCAATCAAATTTTGTGAAGACAAGCGATCTGAGAGCGCAATTCGCAATGCTGCGATCGCTATCGCGTCCCGTGTGTCGGGTTTCACCCTGGCTGCGATGACAGCCGTTAATCGCTGTAGTTTGTCGCTGCTCGTGCGTCGAGCCCTTATGTGTAAAGGAGTCGACCTTCAAACACCAGGAAGTACCTCTCACTCATGGTTAGGGCTGCCACGATTAATCGATTAATCGACGACTAATTGATTATTAAAATAATCGATGACTAATTTAATAATCGATTCATCTTTTTTTTTGTTCTTTACTTTGTTTTTCTCTCCAAACTGCTTTGACACCTTCCACTGCCACATCTGCCTTTCTGTCCTTGACACACATGCACAGTAGTKGTAACTGGGGTAGGCCGTGGACGTCACAAGACATTATACAGACAGGCTCTGGTATCATGGCTACCTGACAACGGAGCTCAAAAGTGTGGGATCATTTTAAGAAAATGAAAGAGAAACCTGTGTAATATCTGCAGAGCAGAACCTGTCTTCCACAGCAATTATTTTTAGTTAGCATATAGCTAAAATCTAACGATGTTATACAATAGCAGCTGCATTCTGACGTGATAAGCTCTATGTTTTATATTCAATTAACGTATGATCCGATTAGTCGACTAATCGAATAAATAATCGGTGATTAATCGATTATTAAAATAATCGTTTGTGGCAGCCCTACTCATGGTGTTGATTTATGGCCAATAACACAAACTTAAACTTGATCAACTGATAAACCTGAACAAAACAACTAACTAGGACAACTAATTTTTACACTCATGAACTTCTTTAATAGTCATAAACATGCAAACACATCATTTCTACAAGATTACCCAGTATTCCTTGCTGTGAAAATATTGGTCTGGCTGACATGAAGTGGAAGTAGGGTTGGGCAAAATCATATCGTGTGCAATTAATCGTCACAAAAACATTAATCGATTATTTTTTGGCTCTTGACGATTAATACGATTAATGGCTCCAGTCAGTCCACTCGGTGCTCCTCTTCACTTCAAATATGACAAACATTAAAAAAGTTCAGTAATTTATTTATCTGTCAACACAATTTAAAATTTGATGCATAGCCTGAAGTCTGTAATTTTGACAAAATTTGGAACAGATTTTTACGAAGAGCAAATCTTTCCCCCTAAATTGGTCATGTGACATAAGGGACTCACGGTGATTAATAGTTAAGTTAATCGTTATCGGCTAAATACACCAATTAATCGTGATTAATTTTTTTGCCAATATTGCCCAACACTAGGTGGAAGAGGCCAGGGCTTTTTCAGAATACTTTTTTCAACACTGCATGGTGTCATATGACAACACTGTTAAGTGTTATATAAGATTCAACAGTGGGCGGAGCTTATTTAACACTGTCCAGTGTTGAGACAACACTGAGGAAATCAACACTGTGAATTAACGCCAACACTGGATGTCAGTTTACTCAGCAAGTGTTAAAATAACACTAGAGGGGAGTTAAACTGAGTCTGAAAAGTAGTTTAACACTGAAATTTTAACACTCTGTTTTCTGTTTTTTTGCTGTGTACAAAGTGATGATTCTGTGTTTGATGCGTTTCATCCAGTCTTCCAGTCCCAAACTTACGTGTGAAAGTGGTGCCGGACGAAGGGTTGAGGCTGTCGCAGCTGTCAGCGCTGTCGCTGCTGGAGATGTCATCGTCAGAGTCTTTAGGTGTCGAGAACAGAGAGCCGCCGTCCACCTCTTCATATCTTCGTTTGAGGCTTAGAGACGAACCTGCCTCCATGGAAACCTAATGTCTGAGTGGGACACAGCAGCACAGGTCGGCCACACACACACACACACACACACACACACACACACACACACACACACACAC